TCCTTCCTTCCTTCCTTCCCTCCTTCCCTTCCTTCCCTTCTTTCCCTTCCTCTCTCTCTCTCTCTCTCTCTCTCTCTCTCTCTCTCTCTCTCTCTGTCTCTCTCTCCAAAAACCAACATCATAATGGGGATAAATAATTGTGAAAACAGACACTGTACACAAGCACTGTAAGGGAGTACAGCTGTTCCTACCCAGTCAATGGCAACACTGGAAAACAGGGCATCTTCAGCTGAAGAAGTAGTCACTGCACTTTCTTTTTCAGATTCTGTATGACAGACCCTGCAGATGCCACTTTCTCAAGGGAAAATATTGTTAAGCAGTCAGACTCTGATAATGAGCTTGACCTGAACCCAAATTGATGAATCTCAACTAAGTCCATACCTTGAGATAGGACATGTAAGAAAAAAAAATAATTTGGTCTAGTTAATATCAATGAGCATATATTTTCCCCATAAGTCTCTTGGTAAAATAAATATGGTTGAAGAAATATCTCTGAAGAAATATGCAGAAGAAATATGGTTGATGACAGAAGGTGAGTAAGAAAAAGCTCATTCTTGCCAATAGAATCCTGAATTTCCACCTGTGCCCCACTCTTAGATAATAAGGTACATTTTGTTCTTCAGAGCTTACTTATTCAGTTTGGTCTTTATCTAGGCCTCTTTCATCTTCTCCATCCACCTTAAAATTTTTTTCTGTTATCTCCATGACAGTCAATGGATAGGAAAAGAGGAGGACAAATAGTTCAGATTTCTGAGACATTCTAAGCCAAAGACTAGTGGGAAAGAGGTTAACTAATGGCTAAAAAAAAAGGAGACTTAGATTTTCCACTTTCTTCACATAGTTTAAAAAAATATATCATTACACTAGCCAGAATGATTTTTATCTCTTCTGAATTCCTTTAATTTTCAAGGCAGTAAAATGCAGTAGTGAAAAATTCTCAAGTCACTTCCGTTATTTCAATGTCACTTCCGTTATTTCAGTGTCACTTCCGTTATTTCCGAGCTTCATGTCCTTCAGCATTTCACCTCTCTAAACCTCGGTTCCTCATCATTCAAGAAAGTTATTCATAGTTTCTACTTTATAGAGTTGTTGGGATTATTAAATTAGATAAAATGAGATCGCACATATAAAATACTTATCATTGTGACTGACACCGAGTACAAAAGATTAAATAGTATCTGTTAATATTTTGAAACTTATGCTGACTTGGGAAATTAACTCCTATATGGCAGGCTTGTGAAAGATTCTATATTTATATCAGTTTCCAGATGAAATTAGATAATTTCTTATTTTCAGTCCCCTTCCAAGAGATCAACATTCAAGGAAGACCTTGAAAAAACATTTGTTAAATGAATGAATGAATAAATAAATATAGCCCTACTTTCCAGGTAGCTTTATGTATTAGTCAGGATGTCCCAGGTTGTGCTATGGAAACAAACAACTTCAAAATCTGATTGATTCAAAACCACAAAGGTTTATTATACCTTGCCCATGCAATATATCCAATTGCACATCAGAAGTAGAGGTTTTTTTTGTTTTTTTTTAACTGTAGCCATTTAGAGATGTAGGCTGGCAGATTAGCCATCATCTCAAACATTGCTGACTATTACACTGGAAAGAAAGCTCTGGGGGGTTTCACCCTAGCAATTAAGTGCTCCAGCTTAAAAAAAGACCAGCATCATTTCCATTCTCAAATCCTTGGCCAGAAATAAGTCACGTGCCCCACTGAACCAGAAGGGATCCAGGAAAGAAAATCTATGTGCCAGAAAGGGGAAAGTATCAGAAATATCTGGTGAATAGCATTAATAACTACCATACCTTGTAACTGTGACTAATGAATCTCTTCTCTCTCTTTAGACTCTGAGCACCCTGACCATATTGACCAGCAACACTTCTGGTATATACTACTGCACAGCTGTAAACAAGGTTGGCACTGATGAGAGAAGCATGCAATTCTATGTCTCAGGTAAATTCTGAACTGGAAAGAATAAAGCAGATAGGGCATGTCTTCCATGATGTAATTAGAGATGCATGGAAAATGTACTTTTTCTCATCCAGCTCAAATCTAGGCCTGCAAAGTTGTCCGAGAACCTATAATTGAAAACTCATTGAGTTTAAGGCAAAATCTTGCTGAAATGCAAATATCCTGGAAAAGGCAACACATTAAGTCAGTATTAGACATGAGCACCTTAGCCAGAATCTGATTGTTTCAACTTTCCTTTAGATTTTAGTGTAATTTATAGTATTCCCTGCTCCTTCATATCATGATCTAATTTGTTTCTTTCACTGACTGGTTAAAATTAAGTTGTAATCATTAATCTAGATGATAGATGATGAGAATAAAATCTCAGGAGTTGCTTTCTAAAATAGTGTTGAACTCATTAAGTAATTAATTATAATTTTAGTCATATTATGCACTTATGCTTTAAACAATGATGCTTTAATCATTCTTTAAAACTGAAAGCATTATAATTTATTGTTAATATTTTAAAAGTTTGAGACATAGATCAGTAATTTCTTAAGCCAATTGATTACCTATTCTTTTGTAGGGGCTTTAGAATCAGATGGGTCTTCCTGGGTTCAAACCTTGCCTTTGCTACTTTTGATTTTTTTTTTTTTGCTACTTTCTCATTGATTGTATGAACTTAAGCAAGTGGCTTAAGCTCTTTAACCTTCTGTTTTCTCATGTATACAGTGGAAATAATGCTACCCATTCCAGAGGGTTAGTGTATGAGGATTAAGTGAGACAGTATCTATGAAGTAGCTGACACATATTAAGTCCTTGATAAGGACTATTATGTATACATTCTCCAGCCATGAAAAATAATGAGAGAATGTATGTGGCCTGTGTAGTGAAGTACTTGGCAGAGTCATAGTAGGCAATCAACACATTGCATCCTCCTATCTTATTTGCTCCTAAGCAAATTAGGGGTAAACATAACAGAGTGAAGCCAAGAAGAAATAATGGGAGCAGGTCAGGCACCTGGATAGCCAGAATGCTTCATCAAACCAAGGTGGAGGGAAGGTTGTTGAATAGGAGAATGTGTTCTGAAATGAACTCGAAAGTGTTTCACATTTCTTGTTCACTGGTTAGTGATGTATGATGGTCACAGTGTAGTTAATCATACACGCAAAAACAAGTGAAACTTTAAGAATGAGAAGTGGTGAGCAGAACTAAGCTCTCTGGAGATTTTCACTTTTTAAGGCAACCTCACTGATAAATTGTCTTTTCTTGGAGATAGGGCTGAGGCTCCAGAGAAAATAGTAGGCTGTACCATGGATAACTAACCTTGACAAGTCAGGTGTGAAGAATTACCACAACTGAGCAATTTCATTCAGCTGAGAGCTTGTAAAACTTCAGGAGGGAAGTTGGAGACTTGAGCACAATGGATGATTTATTGGCATAAACAGCTGTTGCTGCAGATAGCTGCTGAGTTCCCAGTGGCTCATGGCTTTCCCAAAATAAGGATTTCTGGAGACATTCTGGAAACCTCAGATCAATGAGTCTGCCTTTCATACTCTGGAGACTGATGGATGCATTAATAATAATAATAATAATAATAATAATTATTATTATTATTATAACAGCTATGGCTAACATTCATTGAGCCCTTCCTATGTGCCAGGTACTGTGCTATATACTTTAAATGGTTTGAGCCTTTTTTTTTTTTTTTAGCTGAGCCATCCTGCTACCTGTTGGCAGCTCAGCGGCTGCTCAGCTCGGGCTGGACTCGAACCGCTGTTGCTCAGAGCTCAAACTGTTGAGCGAGCTCTTAACCAACTGAGCCACTCGGCCGGCCCTAAATGGTTTAATGCAACTAATTCTCACCACAATCTTATTAAGTGGACACTGTTATTTTACAGATAAAGTAACTGGAGTACAGATCAAATATAGCTAGAATGAAGTGGAGCTAGGTGGCATGGCTGCAGAGTCTATGCTTTTAACAACTTACTTAATCTTTGAGCTCACCAAAACACTGAGGCAACCTATACCATACAGAGAAATTTGACATGGCTTCTATAAAAAACCTCTTTCAAGACTGACACTGTAAACAAAAGTACCTTGATGGTCAGGGCAACAGCCCCACTGGCCTAGCTTCTGCACAAATATATCACTTTTCTCTTGAGATATTTACTCCCTGATAGCCACTGCTGCCACAATTCTGGCCTCAGAGGGATTCTGCTCCCCTGTTAATATTCAGGTCTAATGATGGAAAAGGGGTCATTTCCTTGATTCACTATAGCTCAGCTGGATCAAAGCAGAAATATTAAAATGTATTTTGTTGAAAGTTATGAAAAACTCAAGAAATATAACCTCCTAGGAGAGTGTCATAAAGCTGGACAACCTGGTTCATCTTCAGCTCATGATTCAGAGTTCCCTTTTTAGCTTACTCAAAGACAGTTTCTGTGTAGCAGAAAACAATTTGTATTTCTATCCCCAGAGAGTCTGTTTAGATCCTTAGACTCCTTGAAGCCTAGGACAAAGGCCCCCTTTCTAGCTTATTCTAGTAGTGTTCTCTGTTTTTGTTTCTGCTGATTTCTTGGATACTAAAATATTGCTCTTGAAAATAACATAATAACCATCCTTCAGGGGAGAACTTACCCATATAGGCCTCAGCAAGATGAACTTCTTAGAATTGTATGGTATAGCAAGCCACAGTATAATGTTCACACAGAAAGTGCACACACAGAAGGAGTCATTTCATTATTGTTCCTGATGTGGGAAATCAGGTCTGCCTAACGTCTGGGAATTATTTGAGAGGATACATGTAGCTAAGAAAGAAACATTGAGCATAATTCATTTAGACTTTCAGAAAGCCCTCTGTGTAGAAACTTTGAGAATGTTCCACCCTAGAGACAACATAAAAGGAATGAAGTCACAATGCTATTGGAAGAATGATTTATGTAAATGGAACAAAAGAAGACGTCCTCTGGTTGAGGATATATAAATAACAGTGTGTGCTCTGGGATTTGTTCTGAGACCAGTCTTCTTGATCTGAAAAGAGGGTTCACAGTGATAGTTTCCAAGCTTGCAGGTGATACTAAACATTTTTAGATAGTGCAAAGCTGAGCCAACAGGGAGACACTTCAGGATGATTTCAGGAGGCAATGGGTCCAGGAGCTAAAGACAGCAGTTTGGCCAGAGAATGGGTGAGGAGAGGGAAGAGCAGTTTAATTCCAAACCATCCTGGCCTCTTTCTTATTCTCTCCTTCAAGTCCTGTGTAAAAAGTAATAATAATAATAAGGTTGACAGGGAAGCCCTGTGCCTGTAGTTTTAATAGAAATTGCAAGCTGCAAGAGAGAGGGTGGGATTATGTCTCATAGTAAGCCTGGGGTCTGTGAGTAAACAGATGTCCCTGCTACCACATATACATGAGAGTGAGTCATTGAAAATGGAGGCAGCAAATTCAGTCTTTTCCATTTTTTTTTTCTGGACAGCAAATTCTCTCCTTTCTCAAGCCATGTAATAGCTGCATGGGAAACAGCTGGAATGAGCTGAGAAAGATTCAAGGAGGGATGTCTTAACAGAACAGCATGGGCTCCCAGTTTAGGAAAGGCTGGGGATGAGGAAGCTTGTGTATTCTGAATAAAACAGAATGACTTCTTAAAATCCCAAGCAGCACACTGCTCTCCCAGACACACATAATTCCTGCCCCTGTCCTGGATGCCCAGAAAAAGAGACTGTTTTGTGTCTTACTCTTTATCCAGAAAGACATAGAGGAATAAACAAATGTGCAGACACTTGGCACTCCTGACTGCCAAATGTCAAACATGGTAAGTGGTCCCCAAGGGAGATGGGACTGTTCAAGCAACTCACCCTACTTCTCAAACACCATCACCAATTATGCATCAAATATACTGAATTTGACTATAATTTCATTGCTCTAATTTCAGCTTCTTCCCCCACTCTCATTCTGTTCTCCATGGAAACAAGCTGGTGATTCAATTTCCAAGCACTCTTTCCTAGACTTTAAGATTGTTATGCACCCCAATCAGCTTTTCCCTAAGTAGCTCAGAGAAAAAGGCTGACTTTGTTTGTGCATCATCATCTTCATTACCAATGAATTCCCATCTAATTTATTCTGGGGGGATGGGGGGAATAGTGTGATGCTAGGTCATAGAAAAACTGTAGTCCAAGCCCAAAGGAGAATTATAAATGAGAAATTAGAAAACCAGTGATATAGTCTTGGCTCTATGGATAACCTTGTTGTGTGATCTTGGTAAATTACTTTCCTTCACTGGGATTCAGTTTTCCCACCTATAGTATGAGGGAAAAAAAAAACATTAGAGATAAGCTGATACAACTGCAATTCCATAACAGTGACCTTGGGAAAGGTCTTAAGATACAATGTGTGGGGCATAGGGAGAGAGAGGGAGATGGGAAGACTGGGAGGGGTGGGAGATGAGGAAGGAAAGGATCTCTGTTCTTGCTATTCCAGACTCTGGATGAAAATATGCCAGCTGTTACTTTGACATTTTGTGAATTTTCCATTTATGTAAATATTTGTGTGCATTCATTTGCACATTTCTGACATGTTTGTAGGACATCTGATCTGTTATTTCAGATCATTTTGCCCCTCCATTGCCTAGTCCAAACCAGAGGCAGCTGGACTGTCCCAATAGCTTTAGAAGCAGAAACCATGGAATGTAGAAGTTTTAAATTAAATCACTCATGCACAAAATCCCAGAAAAATAAGACATTATTATTATTATTATTATTATTATTATTTGAAAATACAGAATTAGCCAGGCAAAACCTTCTTTCTTCTGTCATTTTCTAAGATCGCCTCAGGGACCCAACCTAGGTGGCTGCCTTAACTGAGAAGAGGAACCTCAGATGAAGGTATAGGGGCTCTCAGGTCTCTTTCACATGATGGTGACTTCGTGGTTTTAGGGGAAATTTACCATATGTACAAGGAAATTTCCAGGACAGGGCATCCCTACTCTGATCCCAAGCAACCCAG